TCATTGCGTCTCTGGAGTTTCTTAAATGAAAGTACCATTGAGTTGACTCGTTAGCCTTAATTCGTGTGACACCCAAACATCAAGTTTTTTTCTAGTTCACTCTTTTCAAGCGGTTTAGAAGTTTCTTGGCAATATTATGACTATGTACGTGCCGGTTTTGCTCAACATTTACAATACTTCCATTAACTTTTTTTCGAAGTTGGTCGACCACTACTACGAGAGAAATTTTTAGAATAAAAAGAATGGAACTGTATTTGGGCCATTTCTTTACATAATGCATCTTGATCATAAACAGAACAAATTTCATAGGCATGGACACCATTCGTATTTTTATTCTAATAAAATAGTTATATACCCAAGGTGTTCTTTTATATGTCCGAATAAAGGCATTCCGTCACTTAGCGTATCTACCTCAGTCAAACTGCAGCCTGCAAATGCCAACCCAATGGGTCTCTTATTACTTAAGATATTTAACTTTAGAACCAGCTAGCTAGAAAGACGGCAAATAGCTTTTTTAATAACCCAATAAAGATATGGCATTATGGTATCGCGTCAAATACTCTTCCTTGTTTTCCTTTGTTTGAAATACAGTTTCGTGTTTATGATGGTAATGCAATAACGATTTTATAAAGTGGGCAAAGTCAAACAAATCTAAATCATTGGTCTAAACAGCAAGAGCTCTATTGTAACAAGAGTTAAGCAAGAAAATATTTATAAATGTTAGGTTTACGCTGTTGATTCTGCAGTAAATCATGTACATAATGAGAATCAGTTACTTTTTTGCAAAATAGCTCTTGGGAACTGGGTATAGGCAATACTCCGGAACCCCATTTACATATCTGAACTGATTACGAAAAACGTTGTTTTCATATATGAAAGGCATATTACAGATGGCCTGCAGAGTATCCGAGTTGTCAGAGCCTCTACGGCCGGTGGCAGCTAATCACGATTTGCACCACCATTATAGTGCTTATTCTAGACGACTCCTGTTCATGCGAGATTGAAGTTTGAAACGTATGCGACCTGAAAAAGGGCAAAATGTCGAAAATCCAACCGAGATACCCAAGAAAACTCCCTAATGAGAAGATAAGTGTGAAGTCACAAATATTTCCCAGCGTCACGAAGAAAAGTCTGTGAAAAATGTTTTTTTTTTATTAGAAAGGCTGTCAGCACATTTTTCACCCCCGTACTGCCCGCGCAGAACTCTTGCTTTTGAAGGATCATTTTTTAATTAGACCCTTCGAGGCCTTTTGTACTTGTGCTTTTGGTATGCAAAGCTCTAAAGATTTCTCTATCTAAATGGGTATACTGTGCGGCATTTTCTTAAAATTAAATTTTAGATTTTAAACTCTCCTCTCTTACCATATGCTGTGTTATATACGAAGCTAATAGGACTTATATCAGTAACCCCTTGGCCTCTTTCAACTGATTCTAGCCGTCCACATCGCAGTACTTACACGAATTTGCTCTACATAATATGTTTCCCATTAATACACATAAATTGTGATATATTTATTATACATATATTCTCGTATGATATACCCGATTGAAGTGGGTACCGGTGATCGCATTTGTCATTTTAGTGGTCTCTTCTTGCGACCCTCTACATGTATTCACGGCTGAACGGTCGGTTAGTTACTCATAAAAAAAATAATGCATGCATGTTGACGCGAGTGACAACACGACATTGTCCTTATAATGATACCTTATAAGTCAACCGTGTCTAGTGAGATATATTTCTCAGCATTTCTTTTTTTGCAAAAAGAAAACATAACGCGGCACAGTTGTTTAACGGTGAGAATTTATCTAGTACGGCGTCCCGTTATAAATATCTGCACTATTACATAAACGATTATTGTTATTGCGGTGCTTAACGCAGTACCAGACGTAAAACTCGAATCATCGGAAAATGTGTTATTTGACCAACAGGACTGTTTTCTCACAAATAGATTTATCTTTTTATTATTATGAGCGTATTGAATATACTCAGATTTTTCAGAGCGTGCCATTGTTTTCGCCGCGATCATGATTCGCTTACCGGAGCTACTTCTTGATATAAACACGATCAAACTAATCCTTAAGCAACTTTTCGCCCACCAATATTACATTAACGTCTCTCTTTACGACTAAGCTTTCGTTGTACTTCTTTACATGTTTAAATATAACCAACTTTAACATTTTTTTCTCGTTTGTTTCTATTTACCATAGGACAATTTTTTTACTATAAAATTTCATGTAATTTACGCATGCGTAGACAAGGAGATAAACAATACGCGTGTAGTTTCTAATAAACGCTCCTGGGTTTTAGAGAGAATTGCCTCAAGTATCCAATACCACACTAATGTAAAATTGGCCCATTCATTAATGCTAGATAAAGAAAGTCGTCTATCTCCAAGGCTCCCGCTATATCCGTCTAACAAACAAAAACCATTTCCCGAGTTTGATAGAGGATCCTTCGAACTCCGGAAGCTCTCGCAACAAATCCATATAAAGGCAGGAATTAAACTAGAAAGGTATAAACAAATATGTACTATTCATTTGTAATAATAAAACTGTGAATGCATGGGAACCGGCTATGCCCATTTATACGACGGTCGGGCTCAATGTTGTTCGGTTCCTGATCATGGGTTATTATTCCATTTTGGTCGGGCTGACATTGTAATATTAAGCAACCTATATTATGTGCGCTTTTGCCGATATCAGAATCAGTGGCATTTCAATCTGTTCAATCAGTTAATCTAGAGTAAACCTGGTTGAAAGGCTATCACAACGTGTACATACGCAGCTTCAGTTGTGCTAGTAATAGAAATGACACAATCAAGCCCTCGGTCTTCTATCGAACGGTAGCGTTTTGCCTTAGTACAACTACTGCCCACTGTCTTCTAGCTGAAATAATAGAAGAATCATTTGACCCCTAAGCTCTTACATAATCGGCATGTATATAGGGGTACACGCCTAGCGGATGACTGACCGTATTCCCAGTAAGCGTTTGACGAAATCGTACGGCCGCGTTTTCCGAATAGAACGTAACCGGATCTCGCGGGAAGATGCCACGAACCGCCCTCTCTAGCTACGAGGTTGCAGCCGTCGAACGAGCCCGCATCGAGTGACTAGAGCTGGTGATAAGTGCATTCTTAGAAAGACTACTTCGGCTACTGAAACGAGGGGTAGATGGCCAACAGGGGCGATCGGCAAACTGCAATGGGCCAACCTCGAAGTTTCACTTCGACGGCAAGCAGATTAAGCTGAGTGGCCAGGCGTTGCGTGGCCTGTTTGTGTACGACTACAGCAGGCTAGCCGGCTGTGGACAGCTCCACAGGGAGACGTTGGCAAGCTGTGTGAAAACATGGTCAACCTCTAGCTTCGACGGTAAACCCCGTAAGCTGGCTACGACGGAACGGGCGCAATGAGGTGTACCAAGCACATCTCAGGTTTCACGAAGTGAACGAGGCGACTGCACTGAGCTTTTGGGTGAGCTGCCGGTTACAGGTTCTCAACTCCTCTGAGATATGAGACAAACAGGCAGGCAGGCAGGCAGGCAGGCAGGCAAGCAAGCAAGCAAGCACAGCATTCGGAGTCGAATGGATGGCTAAAGAGCCCGTATGAAGAGGGATCGGCGATTGTGGATGACGCACGATCGTCCTAGGAAAAGTTGATTCTCGTCAAACAGGGGCGCTGAAAACCCTTTTGAATATTATGGTAAATAATTGTCATTTTAGAAATTACAATAACGTAATTGAATGGAAGGGACGCCGGACATGTTCTTAATGACCACTAACGATTAGACCCGATGCAGAGATATCTTTTACAAAATAATTAACTCCTAAGTAAGATATGAGCGTAAGAATAATTCCTTGTTTCAATTTGACCTAAACAGACTTTCTGAATTAAGGACACAGACGTCAAATTGGTTGCATCTTATCGTCACTTGAGTGCTCAGAGTACGGCTAGATCTTGAACGAAGATTTTGTGCTACGAAGCCCCATCAAACGTACATAATGTATAGGTGATTGTATCGACTATACTAATCCTCGACGAATTATCAGATCAACGAGGAGACCGAACCAACACTCCTTCCCTCCAGCCGGAATCTGTCTGACACGATAAATCTAATATTAGCATTGACCAGAATTGATTAAAAGGTTATACAGACAATGAATGTTTGCTGTAACTTGCTCATCCGGTTATTCGTCGTTGTCTTTGTATGTACGAATATAAAGCACGGCAGTGAATCTGTGAAAGACATGTACGCGCAATTCCACGACCGATGACGAACACAATAAAGAAGCCGCAAAGCGACTGATAAAAGGTATGACACTTCCGCGACCCTTTCTGCTGCGAGGAGATTATCGCTAAAGAGCCGCGTCCTGTTAACGCCTCATCGTGTATAAGCGACCACAAAGCCAGCCATACAGGGTATATAGTGAGAGTCGAGGGCTGAGCTAGACACTATTATGATATGACATTCAGTTGCACCTTTGTGCATCGGTACTGTGACGCAGGCGAAATACAAAGGAAGGGATCACTACAAAAGTTTCATTCGAAGGTTCAACCTTTGCGAAGAAGACCCGTTTAGACGGATGTGGCTTCCTTTCTAACTGACTCACTTTAATTCTGCTTTTCCAATTAATTCGATCTTCAACGAAACGAGTAATTAATAGGATTAACGAGTTAACGCCAATACATATACTGAAACTGATGATAAACAATCCTTGAAAACGGATCGTCTATCGAACCAATTATACACGTAGGTTATTTCAAATATCGTTCCTAAATGGAGGTCCCTAAAACTAACGGCGATGCAACTTCTCGCAATACGTTGAACGGAACTTATTTCATATGATACCGCCGTCATGAAATTCAATTAGACATACTAACATTCACGTGTACTTGACTTAATAAAAAAAAAAAAAAAAAAAAAAAACGTAATCTTTTAATTCATATTTCATTTATGCAAGCTGTGATTCTTTGTAATGCGTATTACATACGGGCTACGTATGGAGTAGTTGGGCATGTTCGTGACAACCTCCGTAGGCTTTCCAACAAAGAGAAGGTGGCAACTCTTTTACCAACTGATTGCGTCTGCCAAAGACCAAATGCCGAGAACATTAGTATCGCACCAGTATACATTCCTATGCGGTATCCCTATCAGTTCCGAAATAATTGCATAATTAACTGGAATAATTGAATGCCTATGTATTGCCTTATAGTAGGACGGAGGGGCAAGTAATGCTACCACCTTATATGGCCTAGACGAATGCAACTTTCCACCATTCGCATTCGGGCACTGAATCATGCCATGGATTCAATTGCTCGCAGGGTAACCGAACTGCGTTGTTAAAGTGACAGGATTATGAGGAATTCTAAAATTATGATATACGCACTAAAAGCGAGCACATATTCAGGAGACCGATAGTTGGATTTAAATTAAATAGTTGAAAAATATTTCCATGAAAAGTATGTTCATAATCGTATACTTTACTTTATTCTAGATGACCATTTGAATTGTTCTTTACAGCGTTAAAAATATCTGTCTCAAAAGCAGCAAATCTGAAGTTAGGTTGAAGAGATACGTTTCGCTAACGACAAATTTTCATGTCATAACACCTCCAAATAGGGAGGAAAACGGATGGGTGGGTCTAGGCGAAAACTTTTATAAAGCAACCTTTTAGGCTAAAAATATATATATATATATATATATATATAGTGTTTTATGGCCAAAGCCCCGAAGTGTTCTACCATTGTTACTCAGCTTGTATGCGATCCAACGTGGCAAGAAGACATGACACGATAGGGATTTTCGAGAGACCGCTTGTACGAAAGGTTCTTCTTTAGCTTTTGCTACTAGCACATCTAGGACGACATTCAAGTGAAGTTCCGCTACTCGAGTCCTTCTTGCTGAAATACTGCAAATGAGCGAAATGCATTGCCAGGTCAGTTCTGCTTTCAAATCATTTTATTGGTCTTCTTGTAACTTTATAGTATCAACATTTTTCCCATTAATTTATCGAGACAAGTTTCTGCCATGCATCGATCTGCTTGGACGTTAAAACAAACAAGCCCAATATTGACACAACTCGGCAGTATATATATGCATATGAGTGCATGCAGTATTATGTTCTAGGCCAATGTACTTCCTCTTTAGCTCCCGTGCACCATCAGCCGTTCTCTATATCGCCTATTTCCACGTCACTCTAAAATTTAAGAGTTTCCCAGAGGATTGAGTAAACGTGAATTCGCATAGCCAAACAGTCGTGCCACTTCTAGTACCTCTTACGCGGCCAGCGTCTAAATTAAGGTGCTCGGTTCTTTTAGAACACGAATAAGTAGGCCAAGGAACGGAAGAAAAGTCGAAAATAGATCTACGCGTCGTGCACCGACGACTTATTGCGCATGCATCAGCCCAGGAAGAACAAACAAAGATACAGCGAATGGTTCGTAATGATGCTGCTTTCAATAGATGCCCTAACCGGGTCTATCAGACCTATAACGTTAAATTTCCCTGCTTAAAAGTGTTTTGTCTATAACGAATCCCTAATAGAAACAGCAATAGTATAATAAAACAATACATCCTCGTAATTATACATGCTTAAAATTAAACGCTTAATGCAAACTTGTTTTCTATCGAGCATCGAACACTCGAAGGAACATACTCATGTATATAGATATAGGTTTCACTTATTACCACTGTGGAATTATAAGCTATGTTGTAGAGTTTTCTTAGATAACAACCTTCTCTCTTAGGTGCAGTGTGACCTAAAATAGGGAAACTACATTTATATCTATTATACCAGATTTGACGTATTCATCTAGACAGTTTAATAATAATAATACGTGCAACAATTAGAAGTGAAGCTAACTTGGCAGCCTGCTTTCGCTGACAGGCTTAAATATTTGCTTTATTTTTTTTAACCCGAACTGCTTCCCTAGACTTCTATTGTAGAAGAAAAGCATTTACCACTGCACTGTCACCGTAGAGCCTTTCCGTCCTGTGTCCAGCAAAATACAAGGCTAGCGGTATGCTACGTTCAGTTCATTACGCCATTGCCTGATTGTACGCCGATCTCGAGCAACCGATGTTTTACAAAAAAAAAAAAAAGTACGAGACAGAGAGGACCCACCGGAGAGTTAGCGGTGTATGAGTGAGTAGAGGTGCCGAAAGAGCGGTTCGATACACCGACGCAAAAAGTATATCCATACGCAGATAGGCAGTTACACAGGGAAGGATCGACCAGGGAAAGAAGTTTTGTGCTTTCGCTTTGCTGCCCACCAGCCGTTACAACGACTCAGTGGCTAGCGCCAGCGGGGGCGGCAGCGCTATAAAGTCGATAATGGAAGTGCTCGGCCGACGTAACCGCTCACCGTTGTTTCTACGGTACCGTCCGTCCAGTGTCGAGGGCTCTATTCGAGCGTCCTGCCATTACAGTTGTTTGCCTCGGTGGAAACTATTGGTGGCAGCCTGTGGCCTAATGCTACTGTGGAACTGGGTAGTTGGCCAACAGTGCTTCTCTCACCTGCTCATTGTCTTTCTCCTATAATACAGCTTCTATGCTAGCATCGGGAGTCTTTTGCGGCTGACGTCTTGTAACAGCCCTGAAGAAGGGTCCTGGACGACGCAAGCCGCTACGCACGCCGTCGTTTTCGCCAGGCACTGGTCGACAATGAATTAGGCAATGGACAAGTTGCAGCGTAAACCGAAAAAGAACTTTAACTAGTAGGTAAGATACAAACAGAAAGAAAGAAGACTCCTGATTTATATTAGATTGGCAGAAGCCAGTGCGTGAATGATATTAAACTGATAGTTGTCGGCCGTAACAGAAACTATAGATCCTCATATCGATGTGGTATCGTAACTTAAAGGAAATGCAATCGATACGTTTTTCAGGGAAACTATATCATTTCTGATAAATAGAATATACGAAAGGAACAGATCAGTGCTTTATCTTGTATTCACAGTTAAATATTGTGCCTTAATCATATAGCTCACGAGAGAGCGAGTTAAGTATTTTATATAGTTGTCCTAGCAGTACATTTCATGACCAGCTAAAATATACGTGTACCTAGAACAACTGCTGATGAGAAAGTTATTACAATAAATCGAATGGTTGCGTTTTTTATCGGCTGGAAAACCTATTGAGCATGGCTGTTAATTACAGTTGAAACAGCAACAAAACAATATAATTAAATAAAAATAATGCATAATTTGTGATGTTTGCTAACTAACAATATGTTATCTATTGAACTATGTGACTTGGCAAATCTAAACAATAAAAAGAATTATGAAGTTTCCATAACCATATCGTCCTATCGCGGGAAAGGCTCTATTCCGCAGGCAGGCAGGCAGGCAGACAGGCACATTTGTCTGTAAAAGAAAAAAGAAACGCTTAAATAATAATGTTGAGGGTGTCGACAATTGCCACGGATCAATAATGTTACAAGCAAAATTGCACTGTCTAATATTAGAAAATTCACGGTTTAGAGTCCCAGCGTCTCAGTATGACTAAAACGAGACGTGTCTAGGACTAGACTACTACTACTACTGCTGCTGGAGCATTTTTGGAATCGGTTTGAAAAAGGGTCAAGTCGTCATATGATGAACGTGACACTTTGCCACTTAGAAATCATGAAATCGTCACAACATACCTTAGTAGGCCCACTTGGTAGGCCACTTCTTGCACTTTTTTCACCAGCATTCGTCTTACAGTGTCGCAGCAGAATTACCATTGCTCCTGTTTTGTCTTTCCGCTTTTGCAAAGCGCCAAGACGACTTTCCGACATTTTATAGCTTTAACGTTTTACTGGTTTCATCACATCAAATATGAACCTCTGATGTGGTTTTCCTCAAATGCATTTTTCCACTTAGACCAATCGATTCCGCAGTCTTTCCCACCTATGCCCTTCACACCTATTGTCCTACCCTGTAATTTCTGTCGTTCATCACAACCTTGTTCGATATTTATCTAAGATTCGTAGAACACCTAAAATCTGCGTGCGCACCTCACCAAAAATTTCCAAGCTTATAAACAATGGAAGGTGTGCCCTATTTCCTATAAAATCGTACAATGGTCGCGCGTAATTCCAGATAGCTGTACAGTTGTGTTCCAGTTACCTGTTTATCAACTATTACCAGGTTAGGCAGTATGACGAGGCGAAGTCTCTAGGCTGCTACCATGGCCACATGTCAACATTGAGCAAAAGGCAAAGAGCTCAATATCGTAGCAGCTGGGAGTTGTTCAGAAAGGCACGAATAAATCAACTCAAATCGTTTAGAGAGCACCGTCAATATTTGACCTGCTAGCTAAACACTCATTCCCCGCACCCTGTTACTGGAATAGTTCATTTTTTTTTACTGCGGTACTACTATCAACATAATATAAAATAACACACGCAGCGTTTAGTCATGATCGCAGCGTAATCATATAGATATAAATTTAATTGATATATCTGCTGCTTGATTAGCTCTCGTACTGAACGTTGTTGTTTTAGATGTTTACAAAGCGAACAAACGAAGATCCGGCAGGACTTGATTCGTGACTACTGGAATTCATAGCAGAAGGTAACGAAACACGTGGTCTCTGTATTAGGCTTCTCATAGGCCCAGAGTTTTCATGCTCGATTTGGGCTTACTTTCTTTTTTGGGCGAAAGGCAAAAAAGATTTATTAAATGATACTGAAAGGACGGACTTGTCACCTTTATTCGTCAATTGTTTTATTTTCAGATTAAGTATTCCTTTATGTCCAGATTTTGGATGCTTCACTAGGTTTCTAACAAAAAAATCGATCGTGTTCGCGGTAAGCTGTTCAATATGTTCACAGAAAGTAAAAACCATATGACCATTCGTCTTTACGGCGTGTAAGCTATTAAACTTTCAAGTTTTTGCTCAGTGATCAGCACCAAAAGTTGTTTTGGCTATGTACAAATATTCAGTATATATGACGTATGAAATATCTGCACAATCGAGACTACCGTTAAAACGCTACAAACACAATGTACATTTTGTCCTTTTGTTTGTTAATAGATTGTACCATCTTTGAGATCCTGTGTTCGCCTTTTGAAATAGCATTTTTTTAAATAAAATTTCACTGTTAAGGGTCGAGCTGCCGCATAATTATCTATGGTGAGCGCGAATATCCTTGCACTCCTTTCTCGTTGGAACTCTCCTTCTGTGTCTTTCCTCCTATTACTACCATTTGTATAAGGTTAAGATTACATTAATTATATGAACAACGAGAACAGGTTTATGTAATATTGACACAAGCAGAATATATATATAAACGAAATAAATAGAATTTTTGCTATTCCAGGATAAAAGTATAATTGTACATATATATATATATATATATATGTCTCGTATACGCAAGCAAAACATGAATGTAAAAGTATAATAATATGTCACCCTAAAACTCTCATAATCAGCAACCTAACTCACAGAGCAGGGTCGTTGCAAGTTTTCAACTTCAAAGAAGTGGAATAAGTTACGACGGAACCAAGATTTGCATATTTGCAAGTACATGAAAGAAGAAACTACGGCCGAGACGCAGGGGGGTCGTCGGTCCGGCCACTGGATGCAGCATGCACTCGTGGTTTTCCGGATCGGCCGCATGATGACGCCGTCGACTTTTTGCCGGTGTAGCGGCAACGGCAGAACTAGCTGAAGCTTAGATAGGCCTTCCGTTTTCGCATACGATTTTTCCTATTGGAACACATACATTTGCTCTTTTTTTGTATAATTCGAAAGAATACCTAATATTACATTACATAGAATTTTTAATAAGAATTCGCGATTTGCATTTTCATTTTTTTTTGCATTGCAAATCTCAAAGGCCAGTGGCATCCTCATACGAGGAAGTACCATTATATTTTTACAAGTTATTTCAATAGACAAGTACCTACTTATATAGATATTCTTTTTTTGTACCATGACCGTCTAGTGAGCTGTGTGCCAATATGTTTTCAGTCAGAAGACTATGTGTAAAGGTTTTTGTTGACCTCTCAACATCAAGGTTGAAGGTTCGTGAGGTTGTATATGTACGAGCCAGTAGTAATTTAATTTACACTGCAAATGTAAGAACGATTGCGAACAATGAACAGAGAGGCATCGTGTTGTTAAGCTAACAATAGAATTTACCTTTACAAAATTATTCATTTGGATAGCTGTTATCCGGTTTTGTTGTTGTTAGATAATTTTTATGGGGTGCCGGAAACACCAGAATGGCCCAGTTTATTATTAGAAGTCGATTCCTCATTATTTAGTTTTTATAAAATCGTTTGCTAACTTTTCTTAAAATTTTATTAAGCGCCACTTACATTCATTCAAACACTACCGATATTAAACTAAGTTACGTATGTCTGTAATGTACGTGTTTATGATGTAAAAAGTTTTGATCTTTTGTCTTGTTGCTCACGTTTACTGTATCAGTACCGGCAATATTTGTACTAGTAATGTTTAAGGTTCATGTAGTTTACGCGACTATATATTTCTATAGCCAGTCCTATCTATAACACGCGTTACTCAGGAGCAAATCAAGCTCGAAGAAGTGCCACAGTCTATGTTTACGATGGAGACACGGTAATAAGGCTTACATTGGAAGTCCTACCTTAATTGCTATCTTTTAAGTCGCCATAGGAAGATGGGCTGTATTAACGAAGAATCAGTCGCATTCACAGCATAAGGCCCATTGAAGGCAATGTAATGCAGTATTTATCCTTTGACAACTGTTCTACTTTTTTCTTTAGGTATGAGCGGCCCTACGCACACTATCAAGCAGTTTGTTGACTTATATTCATAAAAGCTCTATTAATACTTATTTGTTTAGTATTACTAAATAGTACTTATATAATACTAGTCCTAGCGAAAAAATGCGTGTGCTTGAAAGACAGTAGCAAAAGGGACTAACATACATTTGGAAACAGACATCCGGACCTAATGTCACACGTCCCCACTCTCTGTAGGCCTACGCTGCTGTATGTTACGCGCTCGTATTGGTCCTATTCGATGGCTCTTGTCAAAATAACGTTTTCGTTCTTTATTTTGTTGAAGAAGTCATCGCAAAAAAAGTGTATGTTCACGCACGGCATGCATTATTCAATGCTAATTTTCATCCCGAACGTAACAATTATGCACTGCTCAATAGCTTCAACGGACTTGAAAGGAGCCGACACCGCAGGAGACATTAGGAGGAAGTAAAAAAAATTCTAAAATCTAGCTCGTTTTTCGTTTCACTCCGCTGTTTCGGAGTCAGCCATCACTCGGGTTTGATTTAATGTTGCGCATTGAGAACCCTGTCTGTGTACCTTCTGAAAAGGGCATATCTTGAGGATATGTAAATCTGCATATTTTCAAACTGTTTTCAGATGTGGCCGGTTGACACCCGACCACCTCCGTCTTCGTTTGGTTTACCGCCCTACCGGCGGCTAAGTTCAAATTAAATCATGATTACGACATTGTTGATGTTGATGATGCTGGTGACGATAATCATAACGATGCCGAACAACTAATAGTTATAGTCATCACAGAGAAATGTTGGTCACTAGTGGCAATTGAGACTCGCGGCTTTTTTGGTTTGCAAGTGTGACGGAAAAAGATGCGTTGGCATGCGATCGTCCATCAGGTGGCCACGTCAAAGATCCCGTGGCATGATCTTTGTCGCACCGGAATTGGCAGTGTTTATTGGCGCTCGAGGCACGTTGCCGGAAAGGAAGGAAACCAAGAAAAATAGAATGAGCCATGCGATAAAGTGGTGCTCCGTTGTAGGCACCATCGTGTCGAACCGCATAAAGGTGGCCGCTTTCGTCTTCGTCTGCCTTATCCCGTTCGAATTTGCCAACATCACTGGACAGGTTGCCACTCGCTGTTTTGAATTCAACGTTTTCCCACTGAATCGATGGTAATGTGCCCTCTCATGAAAAATAGCAGTGAACGAAGCGTAGTCTGTGACTACGGTTACATAAAGAGAAAGTGGGTTACAAGGAGAAAGAGGAGATGCCCCCGTGTAGCACATGACCAAAAGCAATAGGCGGCTATGAAGAATCAAAGGTAATGACTGCTCGG